TAACCGCTAGGTCCATTGAGCTCAACCATTCTTCGCTTAACCTCTTCTTGACCGGGCACCCAAACTCAATTTCCGCCTAAAATGATATACCAAATCTAAATGCCTATAGCTCAAAACCAGAACCATGTAGGAACATATGGTGAAGGTCATTTGAAAGAAGACACTCTGAAGTTTGTGTAAATGTTCAATTAATAAAGAAAAATGTAACACAGAATATCTGGCATGAGGTGAAACACAAAAAAACAACATACGTTTTTTTGTTTTTTTATATTCCATCCACTTTCAAAGGCAATATCTCCCTGATAATATGAGGTATCATACTGCAGACACCTCACATGTGTTCCCCTAGGGGACAACATTATGCCACCAAAAGGACAGGCTAATTGAATATTCAACCAAATGAACAAGATAATCTTGGAATCTAAACAAATTTGTTAACAGAGGTCACAAGATTGAAACAATCCTATCTTTACTTTCCTTCGACTTGCAATCAATTAAAAATATGTCAACTTTTACCTTTTGAACTATTACTTTTTGTCTTAGCTTTGAGATATGTAATTGTGTTGCCGCATTTAATGCGGATATTCCACAATATTATCTTAGTCATCTTGAAGATTAAAAAATACAACGTATTCTGTAGGCTATGACACTAGTTTCCTAAGTCAAGGGCTGTGTGATTGAGTCTTGCCACAAGTATCGGTCAGCAGAGTGGTGCAGCGTAAGCGTGCAGGGCCCATAACCGCTAGGTCCATTGAGCTTAACCATTCTTTGCTTAAGTAAATGGCAGTTTAAAACTCAAGACCAGAAAAAACAATCTACCAATGAAACAAATTCTGTAAAAGAGTTCACAAGATCAAAAAACATTTCTGCTATGATTTTTTCTAACTTCCTTTTCAATTTTTCCAAATGTCCGGTACTTTCACGCCCCAGTGGCCTAATGGATAAGGCACTGGCCTCCTAAGCCAGGGATTGTGGGTTCGAGTCCCATCTGGGGTGTCAGCAGTTGCAATGGCTTGTAGCTCCTTAACCCAAAGTGTTGATGGAACAAAGCCTTCCTCAGCTGAGTTTACTTTTGCGACGGAATACAAATGAACAAGATAATCTTGGAATCTACACAAATTTGTTAACAGAGGACACAAGATTGAAACAATCCTATCTTTACTTTCCTTCAGACTTGCAATCAATTAAAAATATGTCAACTTTTACCTTTTGAACTATTACTTTTTGTCTTAGCTTTGAGATATGTAATTGTGTTGCCGCATTTAATGCGGATATTCCACAATATTATCTTAGTCATCTTGAAGATTAAAAAATACAACGTATTCTGTAGGCTATGACACTAGTTTCCTAAGTCAAGGGCTGTGTGATTGAGTCTTGCCACAAGTATCGGTCAGCAGAGTGGTGCAGCGTAAGCGTGCAGGGCCCATAACCGCTAGGTCCATTGAGCTTAACCATTCTTTGCTTAAGTAAATGGCAGTTTAAATCTCAAGACCAGAAAAAACAATCTACCAATGAAACAAATTCTGTAAAAGAGTTCACAAGATCAAAAAACATTTCTGCTATGATTTTTTCTAACTTCCTTTTAATTTTTCCAAATGTCCGGTACTTTCACGCCCCAGTGGCCTAATGGATAAGGCACTGGCCTCCTAAGCCAGGGATTGTGGGTTCGAGTCCCATCTGGGGTGTCAGCAGTTGCAATGGCTTGTAGCTCCTTAACCCAAAGTGTTGATGGAACAAAGCCTTCCTCAGCTGAGTTTACTTTTGCGACGGAATACAAATGAACAAGATAATCTTGGAATCTACACAAATTTGTTAACAGAGGACACAAGATTGAAACAATCCTATTGCAATTTAAAACAAGTTTTACCTTTGAACTATTACTTTTTGTCTTAGCTTTGAGATATGTAATTGTGTTGCCGCATTTAAAGTATTCCTTATCTTAGTCATCTTGAAGATTAAAAATACAACATATTCTGTAGGCTATGACACTAGTTTCCTAAGTCAAGGGCTGTGTGATTGAGTCTTGCCACAAGTATCGGTCAGCAGAGTGGTGCAGCGTAAGCGTGCAGGGCCCATAACCGCTAGGTCCATTGAGCTCAACCATTCTTCGCTTAACCTCTTCTTGACCGGGCACCCAAACTCAATTTCCGCCTAAAATGACATACCCAAATCTAAATGCCTATAGCTCAAAACCAGAACCATGTAGGAACATATGGTGAAGGTCATTTGAAAGAAGACACTCTGAAGTTTGTGTAAATGTTCAATTAATAAAGAAAAATGTAACACAGAATATCTGGCATGAGGTGAAACACAAAAAAACAACATACGTTTTTTTTTTTTTTATATTCCATCCACTTTCAAAGGCAATATCTCCCTGATAATATGAGGTATCATACTGCAGACACCTCACATGTGTTCCCCTAGGGGACAACATTATGCCACCAAAAGGACAGGCTAATTGAATATTCAACCAAATGAACAAGATAATCTTGGAATCTAA